GAATTGGGAAGTATCATTGTGGTATCTCACTATAGACCTAGTACAGACAGCATAATAAAGCATGTAGATCTCCTCCAGCTTAATATATAGAAAATCAGAGGGGGAGGGGAGTACTTGCTCATTGTAGAGCAAACAAAGCTGAGCAGGAAATATGGAGGCAGTTGTGTTAGCAAGGTGGGTAACTTTGGGAGGCAGTAGGAGAAGCAGGGGCACGGGTTTCAGAGCAGTGCTGGCAGTTTGCAAGGAGGGGTTCCTGAAGGTGAAGTGGGCACTCACCTGCCTGACCACAGACCACATGTCTGCTGGGGTGTTGGATTTTTGTGTCACATCTCTGTTCATGCACATGCACAAAAACCTTCATTTTTACCTTTACAGTCTGCGCCAGTAAAGACACTGAAGGACAAGGCAGTGTCTGACCTGTGGTGCCATGGGAGAGAGCATCATCTGACTTTGTCACTGGAATCACTGCCCTGAGCTGTTCCGAGGGCAAATGACTAAAGTAGAGAAGAGGGACTGGGCACATGCAACAGTCTAAAGGAAGTTGTTTTTCAGGCTGGCTAGAATTTTAATGCATGAACTGGCTTAGATTTTGCTGCTAAACACATTGTTATAAAATTTGCTTTAATGAAGTATATACAGAGACAGCATTCCTTGTATGCTTTTCTTTTCCTCCTCTTTTTCTCCTCTGTGTCAGTACATTAAGCTATCTCTTTTACTGTGTCTTCCTCATTTTCTGGTTGTTACTTATAGGCCTTATTAACTGAAATGTTTCAGTGGGGTTTGGACCAGTCCCTTGGGTTTCAGTTTGGAATTAGTTCAGTGCCTTCTGTAAAAGATTAATACTCTGACACCAAGTAGCTTCCTGTGGGATGTTTGCAAGACCTGACCATTAGGGAAATGAGCTGATGAGTACAAAATAGTGTGAGCAGTTCCAAAGGATTTCATGGCCTCCTCTCTCAGGAGGGTAGAAAGGGCACTGATAGCCAGGATGGGTTTTTCACCATCTGTTCGTGTGCGGTCCCACTGAAGTTCTCTGTGTTAGGCTTTGTGATCTCATGGGATGTTGATGAGTAACATTTTACTCCCTGGATAGCAGTTCTTCATCCTTGAACTGCTTTTACTTTTAAAATAATCCTATCACTTGTGTTTTGCCCTTTTAGTATGTTTGGGTTTTATTTACCACTGGCAAAATCATGGGCATCATTGTGCCCTTATAGATGATTTTGGGTGCTCTGAAGGAAAGGAAATGAACTGCAAGACTTCAGAGGTATGAAAGCAAGAGCTAAGGATGGCAGCTTGGTTTTTGTTCTGTCAAACCAGGGTGTGGGAGGTACCATCCTCTTGTCATATCCCACTTTGGGGCTTTGGAGAACTTAAATACCTAAGGAATGCCAGGGCTTACTTACAAATCCTTCCTAAGACTGCTTTTCCTTTACATAAGCAGATGGAAAGTGGTTTCAGGGGAGGAAACTTCTTAAGTTTTGAAGCCCTGAAGAAAATTAATAAATTCGTATACTTTAAAGCCAGAGGGGAAGTATTATGATCATCTTGTCTGACCTCCTTCATAACTTAAGCCAGGGAAAGTTGCCCTTTATGAGCTCACTCAAGTGTGGTTGGGAAGACAAATGATTGGAAAGAAAGTGTTTTAAAAATGGGGGGATGTGGGTGGGGAGCGTGTGACTAATTTCCCTGTGCGTCAAAGGTCCAAACTGTGTTAATCCTAACTGCAAAGTGTATGTACAGAAATATTTCTTTGCTAGGGCTTTGGGTTTTATGCTGGTGTAGGAGTAATACAGAATGACAGAATGCAGGTTTAAGACTTCTCTTGGAATTGAAAGCCAGTCACTTCCAGAATGTGCTGATTGTGTTCCTGCTGTAGCCTCTGAATAAGAGAACAGAAAATGTCAGTATTTTGTTAAAACTAAGAGCTCTGAATCCTCTTTAGGAAAGGCTGAAGCATGCACATAACTTTGTAATAGCTGGAGCAGTAACAAGGCACGTGAGAAGATCATTAGAGTGGGCATGTGTAAGATGATGGAGTTTTTTAGGTGTTTTTTTCTTTAAATGCAGCTAGCAACATTTTTTTCTGTAGAGAAGGGGAAAGAAATGTGGCAGAACTGATCAAAGAAAATAGCATCTCATTGATAAAGCACATGCTGCAGCACTTCCCACAGTTGGAAGAGCCTAGTATTTAACAATGGTGACCTAGATTGGAGGAGACAATAAAGGCTGTTGTGGTGAAGAACAGATTGACTGCCATTCTCATCTGGGCAATAAAAGGCTGAAATATAGACACTCTCTAAAAGTTTACTCATGTAGCTTACATAAAGACCTAGACTTCTAGAGGAATAGTCTCTACCAAATTCAGTTTGAACTATATTTTGCATCTGACAGGTGTTTATGTTCTCCTTTACAAAGGTACCTATTACTTCATTTAAGGATCTATGAGCCTGCAAGAGTATGACCTGATTAGATTTTAAAGTAAATCAATACGTGAACCTGTCCAAAAATAGACATGCATTTATTTTAAAAAATAATACTCAGTGGGGTAGCCTTGAAGAGATAGAGCTTTTCTGGAGAGTTTCAAATGAGATAGCAGTCATATGTTGTTATTTTAAAATATTCAATGCCATTCAGATGTTGTTATTTCAACTATCCTGTTGAAAGTAGCTGACAACAGGAGATTACATTCTGGAGGCTTTGTACCCACAAGTCTTCTAAGGAATTAAAACTTGCTTATCTCGTTACCCTGGGGGAGAATTTTGTATTTATTTTTAATTTTTTTGTTTGTTTATTTGTTTTTTTATTGTGTGTGTGGGGGGGCTATTTTTTGGTGGGTTTTTTGGGGAGTTTGTTTATTTTTGTGGTGTTTTTGATTTATTATAAATCTTGTTCCTTTGTTCAGTGGTTCATGTTAGTGCTTCTGGTAAAGTTTCACATTTAACCTTTAGGTAAATAGAAATCCAAATTCTAGAAGAATAAACTGTCAATCCAGCTGTGACTTGAGGGATGTTTTAAGTGCCACTGAGCTGTGAAGACTGATGCATCCCTACTGTGCTGTAAAACTAAGTGTTATTAAATTGGGTTGCGTGCAGGGGGAGGGGAAGGAGTTGGGGGTTGCCAGGGACATCTGTTCTCGGCAGCACTTCCCTTCCCGTTTGCTGGGGGGTTTTCAAGTGTAAGTGCAGAGCAGCCCCAGCCATGGTTGGGTGAGGTAGTTCCCCTGCCCCACAGGGGAACACACTGGTCTGCGCTGGGGCACAGTGGTCCCTGCGTGTGGGGTCCCACCTTGGTCATATCTGGGGGAGAAGCATCTCCCTGTCTATGGACCTGGCCAAAGAGCACTTCAGGTTGTCAATCTGAGGGCTGTTACCTTACTCTGGTCTCTCTTTGATCAACCTCCATTTGCTTTGTCCTTTTCTACTGTTGTCTTAAACACAAAGGTGAATCAAAATGCTTTTAGTTTATGCAAGTATTCCAAGCAGGTGTATCCAGCAAGCACTGCAACTTTGATTTTTAAGTTCCTTTATTCTTCCTCCTTCTTGCTGTGCAGCACTTATTCAGGCTCCGTAGAGGAGGAACAGGGAATTTTGTGTTTCAAAATCAGTTCAGCAGATTTTGAAAAGCTATCTTTGAATATTCTATAATACACATAGAGATTTGAAGAGCTTATTAAAGAAAGCCCCTGACACACTTCAGCAATATTAAATCACTTCAGATGGTGCATGGCAGTGTAATGTTACTGATGCATTTTCAAATTGTTAAAAGAGCCTGGACTTGAAAGCACTGGTGGGTTCACAGCCCTTACTGTGAAAAGTGATTTAAACTGTTAAAAATATTTCAGTGTTTGCAGTGTATTACTTTTGTAAAGGGACATTAGTAAATAAATGGAACTGTAGTTAATCTCTAGCCAGCTAACCACCTGATATGCTGGGTTAATTTCTTTATTAAATGCTTGTTTAATAACTGGGCAGCTGTTCAGACAGGCCAGATGGACTTCAGTGTAATTGTGCTAATAAGGGGAACTTCACAAAAAGAAAGAGCAGTTAGAAGATGCATTTAGGGAGGGAACATCATGACAAATGGCTTCAGGACAGTATGGTCCTCGGTTCCCAACACACTGGCTGAAGAAGGTGGCTCATCCTTCAAAGCAAGAAGGACCAGCAGTAATTGTTTATTCTTGGCTTGGTTGTTTATTCTTTCTAGATTCTTTGCCTCAACAGCCCTACTTGCAGCCTGCCCCCCTCCAGCACGTTTCTGCACTTCCTGCTCTGGGTTCACAGTCAGTGCATTTCTGAATCTCCCCAACAAATACCTGTTATGTGAAGCTGTAGCTTGCTCCTAGCCTTTAGCTTTTGCCTCACGTGAAAAATCCTAGCCTGTTTATATTTTATGGGAACTCTGAGGTTTAATTATGTGTATTTTTAGTGTTCTTTGCAAGAAAAACTGCTAGATGGGCGTTAAGAGTTGCAGCTTGGTTTACATGTAGGCAGATTCTTTTATACTGGAAACACAAACATGAGGAGTGGTGAAGTGTGATGTTCTCAGTATGAGTAATTAATACATTTTTCTTTTGTTGTTGTTTAATTAGGAGAAGGAAAGCAGTGAAAGAGCATTTGAGGAGTAGAAGTCTGAAATTAGTATCTGGCAATATGTTTTAACCTTGCAACTGGTGCATTTATGAATTGAGTCCTTGCAGGGTTTTTTTTGCTGTTGGTGATGTTTCCAGCTACTTCCCAGGTTTTAGTCTTTGTCCTCCAGCTGCTATTCCAGATGGACAGGTCTTCTGTACACCTTGTGTGGTGTCTCTAGCCTGTGAAAACATCTCAGGTATGCCAAAAATCTCAATCAGGACTAAATGACAGTGTTTAAAGACCTGAAACTGTGGACAATTGACTGTGTGGACAGACAACTTCATAGGTTTCTTCCTCAGTAAGCTTGCAAGGAATTGATGTTTTAAACTCAGAAAATGACCCTTATTTTTTCGTTTCCTTCCTTAACAGCACTTGAAAGGAGTCAATGAGATGAACTGTTTGGGTTATAGTATCTGAAAGGCTAAATTATTCTCTTGAAGAGACATCCTAAATGAGCCTGACCGAGATCCTGGATCTGTGTGAAGAGGACTAAGGATATAGGATGTCAACTGAGACAGAACTTCAAGTGGCTGTTAAAACCAGCACAAAGAAAGACTCCAAAAAGAAAGGTAGTGACTCACTTCTCTTTATTAATAAGTATTTTGTACTTTAATTATCTCCTATATCAACCACCTTTTATGCATCTGTGATTCTGCTGTTATCTGTGCACTCAGTGAAAGTAAAATTTGTTAAGCCCAGTGGAAGTCTAGTATGCGAATATGGGATTTGGTTCTCTGACATTTAGAAATATATTGAAATAGATTTAAAATGCAAGAAAGAACTTAGGGATTATAGTTCATTAACTTTTGCTCTCTCTCTCTAATATTGCAATTGTTTCACAAATAGAATTGCAATTTAAGAAATTAACCTTAGCAAAAGAGAACTTTTTTCCTCTGTTGATAATAAATTTTTCTTCTAATTTTTCTTCTTTTTGACTTTGTTTTGAACTGACCAGAGCTTAAATGCACTTTCTGTTACTGGAAGTTAAAACGTTACTGACACTTTGTGAAGTTAGAGATAACTCAGTAGCAATCTGTAGAGAGATGAATTGTAATCTGGTAAAAGAAATACAAAGAGGATGAAAACTCAAAATGAAGGAGAAGCTATTAATAAATATGCAATTGGGTAGGTTAACAATGGCAATTACAATTTACAATTTTGCATCTGATTCTAGGGATGGTTCTTTGGACTGATAAGTGTGAGAAATATGTCTATTTGAATTGGTGCTTATGAATAGAAGTACTGAAATATTTTTGGTAGGGATTTTTATCCTTAGATTTTTATTGCTTATGTTATTAAGTGCTGATCAACTTGGAGGCCAAGACGTTGAATCCTAGTGGTAATTCATGTTGTTCTGAGTAGCTGTCTTTGATTATTTTTTTTCTAAAATCTGCACAGATAATGAAATTGTGATTGATGGTGAATTTCACATGAATTGCTTAAATAAAAAAATCATACTTGATACTTTAAATACTCAAGGCAGCAAGATTTGAATGATCACGTGAGCTGTTCGGTTTGTCATTCTGTTTCTTTTTATGGCTGTATAATTTTTGCATTCACTTCTGAGGATTTGTTATTTTTTTCGCAAGCAAAAAACCCACAACCCCTCGTTTTTGCTTATCCATGTGTGTGTTACAAATCTTACTCAGATATCTGATAAATAACTTGTTCAGTTTCTGGGCAGCTGTACCTTTTACTGTGGTGATTCTACCAAACTGGTACTTAAGGCTTTGTGTTTGCTATAGCTTTTGTATCAGAGATCTTGATATTAGCATTTTTAAAACCAGATACAGCAAGTAAGGAATTTAAAGCATTTTTTTAGGGGGATGGTTTAGAAACCTTATGACTAATCTAGACCTAAACTCACAAGGGGAAAGAAAAAATCTATTTAAGATAAAAAAGCTGTAGTTTAAAAAGGCAAATTAGGGGAACTTTGATGTAAATGAGACTGTGATCATAGATGTTGGAGGCAAGTGAAGAAAGTAAAGATGGTTTGCTTGTATGATCATTCAGTATTTCTGGGAAGGCAGGAAATGTTGAAATGTCAGTTCCTTGCAAGATGGGTAACATCTTTTTGATGTGTGTCTCCTATGTTATTTCTTCTGCTGGAGGGTGAAACTTTAGAAAAACGGCAAACAACTGTTTTAGGAACTTGATATTTATGTTAATAAAATATTCAGCATCCAACTTGTAAAAACCTTTTCATAAATCATAGCAACTGAATATTTCTCCGCACAAGATCGGATTCTATCCCCCAAACGGACGTTCTGAGAATTACTGCTGAGAAGTATAAAATATATTCTGTGGCAGCTCTCGGAGTGCCCTGCAGCATGTAGGAGTAACTGAGGAGCTGGAAGGGACAGTGTGTGGCAGTAGCACATCTCCAGAATTAATCTTGGTCTGGGTTGGATGTGCCAGTCGGAGTGAATCCGATCAGATCCAGGCAGCTGGAGCCCTCGTGGTGCAGGGGCTGCTGGATGCAGACAAGGGATACAATTCAGACTGGGTTTGCTGTTTCATGAAATCAAAATCAAAAGTAACTTGGTGTTCTCTCTTACTTGTCATTGAATTGTATGTATTTGCATGTATTTCAACAAATGAGCCCTCCACTGTATAATCTGAATGGTGGGCATGTGAAAAACAGGGAATTCTTTATCTTTTTTTCCCAAGTTCATTAAATATGAGCAGTGACAGGTAGCAAGTACTAACATGAAGTTTCTAATGTTAGTAATGAAACCGAGTATTCCCAATAAATTAGTCTTTGCTTCATAACCTAAAATTTCAGCTCTAGTCTATTTCCATTGTTGTACTTCTACGAGAGCCATGCAACTATTTCAGTTCCCTCCAGAGCAGTGAGGGGCCTCTTTGGCTGTGTTTTCTGCCCTTCTGGTGGTCCTCCTGTCATCTGAAGTTCCCAGCACTGAGCTGAGGAACAGCAGTAAGTTTGATAATAGTCATAGAATCACAGAATGCCAAGTTGGAAGAGACTTCAAGGATCATCTGGTCCAACCTTTTTAGGTAATACTCTAGTTTTCATGAGGTGACTCAACACCCTGTCAAGCTGAGAATGAGTAACTCTTGAATGGAATGACTGTCCCATGGGCATATCCCATGTTGAAGATCTGGGGTGACTGAAAGGGGATAAGGATCAGTACAGAATTGGAGCATGGGACATGTTTCTTTCCTGAGCTCAGTTTAAGTTTTCTTTGTAGTTGTCAGCTCCATTTTTACATCTCTATTATCTGTATAAGGATATAGTGAGGTAGTGTTTGGTATCTGAAGTGTTAAAATCATGCAAAGCTTAATTCCTAAGCTTTGTAAGGTATACAAATATAAAACATAATTAAATGTTGAATGAGAAGTGCAAGCTGCTGTTTGTAGAGAAGTAGAATGGATCAAAAGAGAAGAGTGGTTATTCACGTGGGACTTGTACACTTGTTCCTGTCTTGATTTAAAGGTACTGTAACATCATTAGTTAAACCAACAATTTAATAACCTGGACAGATCAGAGGAAAGGTCCAGGAGGAGTCTCATGATATCCAATGAGGACAAATGGCTGAGTCCTGCTACTGGAATGGACAAACTCCCTGCAGCAGGGTTGGGATGTGTTTAAACTCTGTTGTGTAGATTACTCATTTTTTGGTAACAAGAAGATTGTTTGACATCTGCTGCAGGTGGGGCACGTGGCATAAATGCTCCTACAAAGTTACAGATTTCCTTAATTTCCCTTACAAGAGATTATTAAAAACCTTTCTCAGTAGTCACAGGGTTTTTACAGCATAAGCTTTCTAGTCACATTCAAATCATTACTTTGTCTCCATTGTCATTAGAGCAGATTTGTAAGGCAGTATTCTGTTCTAACACTGAAGGATTATTGCTACAGTTAGGACAAGAACTTGTATATGAAATAATAGAATCCTCTCAGAAGCTGCCATTTAAGTAGAATCACAGCTGCAAAACTGTGTACAGTAGGTAAGTTCAATATTAACATGATAATATCAAATAGTAGTTTTCTATGTTAGCACTATCACCCTGGATAATCTTAAAAACTGGGCTATTAAAAATCAAGTACAAATTTTGCCTTTTATTCAGTGAGTGTTGATCCAGAACTCAGTGGTCTTTAGGAATGCTGCCTGGTCATACTCCCAGGAGAGGGTAGGAGTTTGAACTGACTTGAAGACACAGGAATGAAAACAGAGGTGAGCCAAGCACCTCCCTTCCTCTCCAGATATTCACCTTTTTGCTCCATGTGCTGTGGAGATACTTACCAACTGAGGGCCCATGTTTCACCCTGACCTTCACCACTCCTTTCCACACTTCATCCTATGAGCTTACAGCACACTAGGTGCTATGAGAGGAGATTCTGGTTTTGCCATCCCCCACCTCCATCCACAATCTTCATGCCACTCTTGACTGATCCTTATTAGTAACAGTGCTGTAATTACCTTTTTTGAGAACTTGCTCAAATTTTAGAGACATCCTGAAGAAGCTTCATATTGCTCTCATAAGAAATAATGTAAAATTCTTAGGAGATTTAGGAAGTTCTTTTCTAGGACTTCTTTGGTGGGTTTTTGTTGTTGAGTTTGCCAAAAATAATGTATTCCTTAAGAACCATTTAGGGAATTAATGATTCAGATAATAATATTCCTAAAGGCTGATTTTGTTTAATTTTTTTCATTTAATCTGGTTCATTGAAAGGTGAATAAACATCACATTTTTTATTTTTTTTTTAATTATTTGTGTTAGGAAATTAGAATTTTTTGTTAGTGAAAATTGTTAGAAATATAAACCAGGTTTTTCTTGTACCCAGGAGAAAAGCCATTTATAAGTGTGTATGGATTATTGAATCAAATTGAAAGCCTTTATTTGCACCTATCGGAATTAGAATTGATTTAGAAACCTCTTTGGGGGAAAATGTGTTGCATTGTTGTTGAATCCACACTGGTAACTGCCTTGGAAAATCTCTTCTTGCAAGATTAACTAAAACAGGAAAACTGAAATGGGAAGTTAGTGAAGAAGTGAGCCAGGCTGCCAAAGCTGAATGCAGATCTGCATCTGCTTGGGAGAGGCCAGGGCACTTTTCTAGAGATTTGGTTTCTTCCTCTTGCACAACAATTCTGTAATTATTCTATTTGAAGCTAAAGATTTCTTTGCAAAATGATCTCTCATTATATGCCCTATGTGGAGTCTGTAATAACAGTTTGAAGTCAATTTTCAAAACGACAGGGCCTTCTAAAGCAGGAAGCAAGATACAAAGCATTGATCTTTGCTAAGAGTCCTCATGGGTGAAATGCCCAGATTTAATAGGTTTCCACTGCAACACACAGGAACCACATGGCATTTGGAAATGGATTTCCCAGGAGGCAGACAGCCAAGCCAGGGACTGCTGTAACTAGCCAGCAGGAACACGAAATTAAGAAGGCTGGGTCTCCACCAGGGCTAGGTGCTTTCTCACAGCCGTGAGTTGGGCACTTTGTTTTGACTGAATGAATCTGCAAGTGCTGAAGCTGTGCTTGAGGAGGGGAGAGCACGAGTGGACACCCACCTCAGGGAGCTGCTTAATGCCAGG